TGTGTTTTGTTGCTATCAATGAGTGTTAACGCTTAAAGTTAGCAACAAACGAACATTACCTGACTCCACAAAAGGAATCTGCTAAATCTTGAAATTATTTACAATTTCTTGAAAAGGGTTTTTTATTTGGTAATTTTCTTTGATTTAAATTTTATTTTAAAATATTTTTTTATTGTTTGACATAAACACATTAATATTTGTATTTTTATTTTTGAATTGGTAGCACTTTTATCGACGTTGAAATTAACTTGTATAATTTTACACGTTAACTCCTAACGTTTATAAATTTTAAATTTATATGAAATTGCCTTTGAACGTTAGCAACAAAACACAACTAATATTAAATAATTTATATTACTTAATCTTTAAACACAGAAAGAAAATCAACCTTGATTTTTGACACAACAAATCAGAGTTGTTTTTTGTTTGCTTATTCTTAAAATCAGCTGCTACGTTCTTACGTAGAAACTAACTACACATAAACAGCCATCGGAACGTCACAGAACGGAAACGTTACGGAACTTTCAGACTAACTGAGCCTTCAGTTTGTCTTTCCGTTTGTAATTTCCACAATCTAATTTTCCGACCTATAAAGTATTTGGGCAATTTCATATCAAGTGACTCAACTCAAAAAATCGATTTTGACGAAATGTATGCATAATCCAACATTTCACGCTCTTTAATTATAACATAGATTACGATTTAAGCAGTGAGTTAGCTGCCTTTTTCATTTTGTTTTTTGTTTTAATTTCTAAAAAAACAGAACTTTTTTTTATTTTGTTTTATTTTTCTTTTGTATACTACATGAAAAGAAGAATTTTTTTGTTTCAGTTTAAAGTTGATCTTTTGTAAGTGAAGTTGTATTTTATTAAAAAAGTTATTTTATTGTAATACTTTAAAATAATTGTGGTGATCTAAATGGCAGAAACGGATTTAAAAATTGGGGTAAATTTACTCATACATTCTAGTTTTAATACTGACAATCTCTTCTTGATTGTTTACAGGATCAGTAAAGGAAGATGGACGAAAGTTACAAAAGAAAATTAAGACTCATTTCATTTACCTTCGTTAAAATTGTTTAATTATATTTTTATTGAATTAACTATAATACATGTTTATTATTTGATATCATTTTTAAATAAACTTGCATAATTTTAATATAAATATAAAAAAATATATTTTTTTCTATAACAAAATCGGAAGACATGGTACTTTAACTTACAAATGCAAATTGGATTGTAATCTACATATGTACATTATATTCTTATTTGCAAGCGTTTATAGGCGTCTCATTAACTTCGCTTAGAACTCCACACATTATGTAAACGAAATTTTAATTTGTCTTAATGATATTTTAGCTTACATTCTAAGCGAGAGCACATCGATGAGGCAGCCTAGGACACTTTTATGTTAAATCTAAGTGGAAGAATAAGTGAAAGCATCACCAATGACTGCCACGAAATATCACTTAAATAAGCAAGTACATAATGTGTATTTTTACCGCTGGGTCGTTACCATTATCGTTTAAAGGGAATCAGAACGTCATTCGAAGCGCACGTTGACCATATACAATCGTGTTAACTTAATCTAATTTTTAATTTTGATTATGGTGGAGAACCAAGGCGAATTCAGATAAGGTGGTGGCAGTTCTGCAACAACAACATTTTACATGTATTTTGTTTTTGCTTTTGGTTTACGTAGATGTCAAAAACCATAACTACGGCGAATTCATTTCATGAAAAATTTTTGTAAAATTTTTATATTTCATTAAAAATAAAGATAAAGGTATTAAAATTTGTGAAGAAAATATATTCTAAATTGAATAATGTTTGTTTCAAACGAAAAATTCTATTCCGGCAGATTAATTTGCAAAATTTATGTCAGTGCCTAAAGTTGAGTAAAACTTAATTTTTTGTGAAAAATAAACATAAAAAAGTACATATTAACGAAAAAATATATATAACGAATGAATGAATCTTCGTTGCGAATTGATAATTCTACTCCGGCGGAGTAATTTTCAATATTTGGCCATAATGTAGCAGACGCCGGCCGGGTAAATACCTCATATGGGTTTTGTTATATAAAGCGTTCCGGAAGAGACTTTTTTTAGTTAATCACTTTATCTACATAGTGTATATATAAAACAATATTGTTTAATTTGTTAACATTTAATAGATTTCAAAATTAACCCATATGTAAAAGTAAGCTGCCGTTGTTCGGCTAAATTCTTCATATGTGTTTCTTTATATCAAGTGATCCGGAAGAGATTTTTTTTTAGTTAATCACGTTATCTACACAATGTTAATATAAAATATAAAACAACACTGTTTAATATGTTAACATTTAATAGAAAAAAAGTATTTTTCCTAAATAACATATTTGTATACATACCAATTATGCCATTATTTAAATAAAATGATATTTGTTTACGAGATGCTTGGTAGTTTTAGATTTTTTACATAAATAATTCAAAATATTAACGAAGTTTTTCTCCGTTTAACGGAAATTTTTAAATATAAAAATGCAAACAATAACAAACTTTGACAGCTACGTAAACCAGGCGGATAAGAAAAAAATTATCAGCTGATTGAATAACACCACCTTATCTGAATTCGCCTTGGTGGAGAACCAATAAAACTTATATATTGGAAACTTGTTATGTTTTACACATTGAGTTGTGTATTTTGTTTTTTTTTGTGTTTCGTTTAGCTATTTTTTGCTATTGCTTAAGTAATGATAGAGTCGGGAAAATTAAATAAATTGAAATTTTATAAAATTAATATTTTTAAACACACTATTGTGAAGCGTATATAAGATTCAGCAAAGTCGAAACTTGTTATCTTTTACACATTGAGTTGTGTATTTTGTTTTTTTTTTGTGTGTTTTATATATAAAACTTATATATTGGAAACTTATTATGTTTCACACAGGCCAAATAAATCTTAGTTGCATTACAACTAATACCCCATTACACATACACGAAATCTAGTACTTATGACATTTCGAGCCAAATCTACTTGATTTTAACCATACAAAACAAAATTTACTTCGTAACTACATTTCGTTAAAATCTACTCAAAATCTAATAGTTTTTAGTGATACAACTCTGTTTTTTCCTAATTAATACTAAAAAATACGATGCTACACAAGAAAAACGAGAAAAACGAAACAAAAAAAATTTAACAAAATTATAATAAATTGAAAAACATGAATGAAAAGTTTATTTAAAATAAAAGGTAATGTTAATTTAAATATCTAATTTTTTATTATTAATAAAATGTTAATAAATATACTATTTTACCTTCTTATTTTTCATATCAAACACAATTTCAAGAAATATTGGAAAAAATGAAATCTTCCTAATTGTCAAAAATAATAAGTGTAAACAGTATAGATTTTTAAAAAGATTTTAAATAAAATCTACTAGATTTCGTGTATGTGTAAATGGGGTATAAATTAATAAGTAAAGTCAAACAAACAAAATTACTACAATTAACATAATTTTACTTTACTAAGTAAAAAGCTGTATGATTTATATTTTTTGCTTTTACACTATTGGTATTGACAATAACAAATTAGAAAGGAAACAGTTGTTTCTTTTTATACCCTTTTTAAGTCGATTTAGCTATGTCCGTCTGTGTACCCATGTAAAGATAATTTGATGAAATTTAACCCAAGGACAAATGGTTTAAATCAGTCCATTATTTCGTATAGCTCCCATACAAACGAACCCCCCGAATAGGTCTTTTGAGCTCATAAATATGTTAAATGTTTTAGAATCACTTTAATTGTCTGCAAAACTTAGTTTTATAGAAGTCTTAATAATACTACTACTTTTCAAAATGATTGGGCCTCATTTGATCATATCCCCCATACAGAGTCCCCTTCAGAAAATGACTTGATGGTCAAATTTCACTTCTAAATACTACATGAATTAAGGTAAAATTAAATCGAATACTTTATTATTAAAAAAATAATAAAAATTTTCGGCCATGCGCGACTATAAATTCTTACTTTTTTTGTATGTGTTTACATAAAAACGTTTAAGCAGTATTTTTTTTTTCAAAATTGGAGAGTTGTATATATGTACCAAAGTATATTAATAAAGTTGCGACATCTCTTGTTGTACAACAACATTTACAACAACCAAATGTATTTTGTTTTTGGAATAATTTAAGATTGTGTCAGAATCATATAATTTTTGTTTATAAAATTTAACAAAAATTTCTTTCAACAACAATATAAAGCAAATTCAAATAAAAGAAGAAAATACTTTTAAATTTAAAATAATAAGGATATAGTTATATTATTATATATAATTTATAACACTTTTAAACCACTTTTCATTCACTTTTTCAACTCTTCATGTAAGCCCTGTAATTTGTTGACGATAGGAAACAAAGTAAATTTATAAAGTAGACTCATTTGAACAGCTGATTATTTTTTTTAAACTTGCTATTTGTGGACTTACTTGTCAAAAATGTTTATGTTGCCATATTTGTTTTCATTTTAACGCTTGCTTTTGTACAAATTTCTGAGTAATTTGTTGTATTTAATGTGAAAAAGTGTATAATATTTTTAAAAATGTTCTAATTTTTAAAAAATAAAGAAAACTCTGTGACTTTTAATATAAATAACAACATATTTTTGGAAAGTACAACAATAATGCCATATTTTCCATTAATTATTGGTTCATTTTTGTAAACAAATTTTGACAAGTGAGTATTTCGAACAAAAACAAATTGCCTGTGGTTTTTGTAGACGTTTGTTGTACAACAACTCGTGTCGCTACTTTATTAATTTACTTTGATAGGAAAGAATATCAGCTGATGGAATAACACCACCTTATGTATATTTGTTATATTCCTTGTTCCATATACAAATTTTTACCGAATAATTCGGTGAATCCACTTGAGGTAGTAATAATCAAAAAATTATTTGGCATCCCTCATCTATAATGATTGAAGGAAGGACAAGCATATGATTGAGTATACATTTCTTAGTTTTGCTGAATGTCAGAATACGCCATCGTACTCAGAATTTAGAGCGGACGTTAACGTATATATATTCGCAATTTTATATTTATGTGATGCTTCCGGATGGTTGTCAAATTTAAACCGGCTAATGCCGGCGCATATATATATAATGAATTATGCTTAAATTTGTGTTGATATCAAAAAAATCTCATTTATCTATTGTGTATTTACATTCATACACATATTGACTTATGTATCTAAATATTTTGATTTCCAGTGTCACTGATGTGCTCTGCAGTGTAATAAGCTCAAAAAGTGTTTTGATTACCGGACTTTAAAAATATATGTGGCGTGCTTACATTATAATAAAATAATATCTGGCAACACCGCATACACTTCCAATTTGTAAAATAAGTAACTTTTTGTGTGAGCAGTAAATAAACTAATTTTAAAATATGTGTAAAATAATAATAAAAACTAAGAAACTTTCTAAAAAATAAATATAATAATATTAACAATTAATAAAACCTAAAAGGTATTAAAATAGGCAACACCTTTGTAAATTTGGTGGTTGTTTGTATATAAATTTCCAGTGCTACTGCTTTTCTCTACACCGTTCTTTTGTTTTGATGAATCCCGCAATATACTCTTATTTGTTATATTGTGTAGTATATCCATATTGGAAAATAAAACTGCAAATAAAAGGGTAATAGAAATGAATTCGGTATAAATTATAACAAAAATGAAATATAAATTTCTTAAAATGTATGTGGATATAAAATAGCTTTTAAACGTAGTAAAAATTTTAAAAAGAAGCAGTTTGCAAGCAAAAAGTTAAGCAATAAATTATATTATGGAATGGAATATAAGAAGGTAAAATGTTATACCTATATGTTGTATGTAATTAAAAAATTTTCACATAGATATACATACATATGTATATCTACAACATGTATTAAATTATTTTATTTTTAATCTTTGCATTGTGCATACAATATTCCTTAGAAATTCCTAATTTTCTATGGTTCTATTAATTTCTTTATGTTAGTATATATTTTATTTAAATATAGTGCATATGTATGTATGTATATCCGGTGTTCTCGCAACCCTAATAACAAGAAATTAAAAAATCAGATTACAAAAATATAGAAGGATAAAATGTGAACACTTTCAAAAAAAAAAAACTACGATTAGAAGAAAGCAGCTGGGTCGCCCTTGTTTCTGTTTTTTATTTTTAGATAAATTTTAAAGTAAAAGTAGGTACCTCTCGTGCAGATTCTAAAAGAATTATTTGCAGAACCAAAATATACCAAGAATTTTCTTGGTTTATTTTAGGAATTCTGTATATACTTTATAAAACTATACTAAATACAAGACTAGATATGAATAGGAAATTGATTATAAGTTAGTGTTAAGAGAACAGCTGATTGGTTTTTGATTATGTACCTATTGTTATACCCTACACCACTATAGTGGGAAGGGTATTATGAGTTTGTAACGTTAAAATATTAGTACTATACTCACCTTAAAATATACCAATCGACTCAGAATCACTTTCTGAGTCATTTGACCCTAGCCCCCATACAAAGCCCCCTTCATAAAGAGATTTGAATATCCGCAATTCCTTTATTAGCACTGTTATTGCAGTGAAATTTCGCACAGATAAATATTATATAAATACAAATTTATCCAGCCCATTTTATCGGGATCGGTCCACATTTGCTCCAATCCCCCATAAATTGCTTAAATAAATCGGAATCAAGGTAATATTCAAGATAAATGCTTTATTATGAAAAATAAATCACATTTAATATTCATAACTGGTGAAGGGTATGGTCGGCCAAGCCCGACTATACTTTCTTACTTGTTTTTTATATGTACACAAATCACTTGAATAATGTATTTATTTAATAGGTATATCTTGTAAACAAGAAATGACTAGACTTTTAAAGTCCATATTCTTACTATTAATTTGATGATAAAAGTGACCGAATTTTATTCTTCTATGGAAAATATATATTTTTTTTATTTTATTTATTTATTTATTTATATCAGTCTTTAGAAAACGAAATTCCTTACAGACTATGATCTAATATTAAATTATTAAAAAAAACAGGCCCGATAGAGGCCTAGGTGTATGTCTTCGGATTTGATGTACATATCGTCACCTGAAACGCAAACGGCCCTAACTAACCAAAAATCCAAAATCGATTTTATTGCAGATTCTATTGTATTGCATCAAAACAAATGTCCACAAAATAATTTAGACTCCTCCGACCAAAATTAGCGATCTTATTGACAAAAAACAAAAGGCCCTATATACAAAAACATTTAAATATTAAAGGTAAAAAATCCAATTTATCCATTTTTATGTACGCCAATGTCAACTATTATAACAAATAATACGTTTCACCATTAAACAATTTGTTTATTTTATAAAAATAATCGCTCTGATAGAAACAAACTTTTCAATTTAAATAGTTTTTTGCTTCTCCTGTAAAATTGTAAAAATGTAAGGGCCGTTTGCGTTTTAGGTGACGATATGTACATCCACCTTTCAAACTAACTAACTAACTTAAAAAAAAAAAAAAAAAAAATAAAAGGACATGAGGTATCAAAAAGACTCCTAAGTCTAGTATTGAATTAAATTAACTTAATTTAATTTATAACCATTTATTTTAAATTTAACTGTAATCGGATTCAACTTTTTATGAAATGAAATATGAAAATACTTAACAAGATTTAATTGAAGACTATTTGCACTGTACCATTCAGATAGATTATATAAATCTGATTGTAAATAAAAACATTATACACAGAATCTGTCTTAAGAAAAAATTTTAAGTCATCCACATATGGGAGTATAAAAAAGATTCGCAAATATCAATTACAGCTTTACAAATTCTATTAAGTAGGTACGATTTAAAGCATTTTAATAAGTTAAAATGAAATACAAATTGCCGCAAATTCCAAAGTAGAACATGACGTGACAATTTATCAAAAGCTTTAGAAAAATCACTGTAAATGACTTTAACTTCACTATATTGCTCAAAAAATAAATACACCAAGGGCATTTTTGCTAGGATAGGTGAAAAGTTACACTCCATAAAAAACCCCTCTGTGGGAAAAAGGTCCAACTTTGAGCCCCTCTATGTCCGGCAGTTCTGGACCGATAGAAAATTTGTGTCTGACCTACTATCTAATAGTACTATAGTACCTTGGTGCAATTTTCATCAAAATCGATTTTTTAAGTTGGGTCACTTGACATTAAATTGCACATACATATTTTTGTTATATGATCTCAGCCATTATTTGCTGAATAACATCAATATTTTGGTCTTTGTATTACAAATAAATGAAATAAATAAATATTAACCCAGGAAAATAAGGTTTTTGCTGTAGAATTTTAGATAGCTAAATGAAAATTGGAACATAACTTCTCATTACCATAATTAATAAGTTATTAAAAGTCACCAGCAAAACCCAGCAAAAAATAATTGATGTCATACTTTACAAAAGACATCTTAATCACATCTAAAAATGCGATTGCATACGTTTCGCTTTTATAAACCAAACATATACTTACAAATTAAAACACAGTTAAAAATGAGAAAAGAGATGTAGAAAAGTCACTACAAACAGCATATTCTAAGTACTTCAAATTTTGATGAAATTTACATAAGCGTTTCATTGAAAGAATGTGGTTTATTTTTGACATACAAATATCGGATTTTTACAGCTTCTAAAGATAAGATTAGATGTAGTTCAAAGTTGTCAAAAATGAACAACATCCCTCCAATGACACGCTAATGTAAAATTCATAGGTTTTTCACCTGAATTTGAAGCACTTCGGGTTACTAGTTGTGATGAAAATTCTACATCTTTTTCCACACTTTTTTTGCTGGGTAAATATCGTGTGCGCTAAGCAGATATTGGCGGTCACAGATCAAAAAGATCAGTTTTAAGCGAATATCTCACTTTTTATACGTCGTACGCGTTTTGATGATATTATAATTTCTATAAAGAATTAAATTCCCTACATTTTAGTTCCAGACTATTTTCTCAAAACATTAGTTGTTTTCGAGCTATAGTGCATTATTTTTCAATGATATTTTCAAATCTTAATATCATTTATCACAGCATCACACTCTAGCGCATAGTGCAATGTCCGTCTATCCGAAATTTCCGATGAGGAAATAATTATGAATATAATTTGAAAAAAATTAGTGGACATTATGAACAGAGTCAGAAAAATATTTCCACTAAATCTCATTGAAATCAGACTACGACTTCAACTTGCTCTAATATAGACAACTGACTTTAACTTGTTTTCAATGTTACACGCAAAAAAAGTGAGGAAAAAGAGGTAGAATTTTCGTCACAATTAACATCCCAGCAAAAAAAGTGTGGAAAAAGATGTAGAATTTTCATCACAACTAGTTACCCGAAGTGCTTCAAATTCAGGTGAAAAACCTATGAATTTTACATTAGCGTGTCATTGGAGGGATGTTGTTCATTTTTGACAACTTTGAACTACATCTAATCTTATCTTTAGAAGCTGTAAAAATCCGATATTTGTATTTCAAAAATAAACCACATTCTTTCAATGAAAAGCTTATGTAAATTTCATTGGTTTTTCATCAAAATTTAAAGTACTTCGAATATGTTGTTTGTAGTGACTTTTCTACATCTCTTTTCTCATTTTTAACTGTGTTTTAATTTATAAGTATATGTTTGGTTTATAAAAGCGAAAAATATGTAATCGCATTTTTAGATGTGATTAAGAAGTCGTTTGTAAAGTATGACATCAATTATTTTTTGCTGTGACGCTTATGTAAACTTTGATTTTTCACTAAAACTTGATTTTTCGAATATGTTATTTGTAATAACTTTTCTACATCTCTTTCCTGATTTTTAACTGGGTTTTCATTTGTAAGGAAGTATTTGGTTTACAAAAGCAAAAAATATAATCGCATTTTTAATGTGATTAAGATGTCGTTTGTAAAGTATGACATCAGTTATTTTTTCTGGGACGTAAAAATGATGACAAAATTGTTATTGGTAGAAAATATGTACATTAGGGTAGCTCCAAAATGGAAGTTGCTGATGTTTCTACCGAAAATTATAATTTAGTTCATTCTAAAATACCATTTCTCAAAATTTTTGTTCTGACGTTAATATTTGGATATTTGAGATACGATTTGAATGTCATAACATAATTTTTTATAAGACTCCAAAATTATTACAAATGTTGTAAGTTTTCGGAAAATTTTTAGATTTTTAAAATTTTTATATACATATATTTCACCGTAATGGTTTTTTCTGATTATTTATATATTTTAAACCCGTATACCGAAATTTTATATCTTTCCTTTGCACTATGGTTCAGAAGACCACTTTTTTTGGCCAAAACTAAAAATGTGGCCAACAAATATTTTTATAGTATTTTAGATATAGTTTGCTTAATATTTAAGTGTAACGACAGAAAAATATGATAATTTACATTGTTAAGAAATTTAATTTTTTACAGAAATTTAAAGTATAGAATAATTATTTTAAATCTACACAGAAAAAAAAAATACATAATTGGAATGAATTTTGTAATAAATTGTATGAATCGAACATGACTTTTTCTCCCAAACCATTTTCATTCAAAATAATAAAAGTTCATAGAATGTATAAATTTGTACATGACGGAATTTTTTTGAATTTTTACTTTTTTCTGCAATATTCATGAAAAAATTGCTAACAAAGTCTATTATTTACTAATCTGCTTCCATATTTAGTAGATAGTAATCCTTTATTAGCGAATTTTGTATAATAAAAAAATAGAAATTGAAATGCTGAAAAACAAAATCTTAAACAAGAAAACA